AACATGTCCCTGGGGAGGAGGGTCCAGGAAAGAAGGCCAATTTGGGGTCAAAGGGGGCTTCACTCTGGGCCCAGTGCCCATTTGGGGATGACAATGAACTTGTTTTTGGTGAGATCCTGTTTTCCTCTCACTGGCCTCACCTGCAAAGTCTCTGTGACCCTACTGGTCTTGAACTGAGAGTGAAGGCCTTGATTGTGGAGGGCATGGGGAGAGCAGAGACCACTGCTCCTGAGACTAAAGGGGAGATTTAAATACCAAATTGCTGTTTGCCCTTCTCTGAGCTCTCAGCCCCTAAAATCCTAGACATTTCTCTTAAGACATCTGGGGAGGGAATTTAGAGAATTGGGGATTTCTAGAGATTCACACATGCATAAAAATAAGAAAGAGAAAGACTATGGGGACCTCTGTACCTCACCTCTTGCTGCCTCCCAGGCTCCAGTAGAGCCTCTGACATTAACTCTAATCATATCTCATGAGGCTATAAAATAAATGATATTATGGACACCCCTATAATTGTCTATTATTCCCTTACTTGTGATAATTACAATACTAGATGATACAGTTCTATGCCGATAAAGTCAAGCAAATATCCTGGAAAATGAAACTGGATCACTGAGGCCTTCAAAATCTCTTATCCCTTCTTCATTATGTTCCAGAAGTTGTAAGCTCCTGCCTAAGACCTCCTTGGTTTAGGAGTAGCCATCTTGTAGGGGGTAGGGTGATATTAGGAGACCTTACCACCTCCTTTTCCTCTATACCCCATACACCCCCCTCTTCTGCAAAGACACCAGAGGGGATCAGACAATAAAAAAAGAAATGCTTTCTCTCTCTCCCCCTACAATTATCCGGATAATTGCATGAATTCTTCTTTGAATGCTGTTGTGTAGTCAGGGTTGGGATTTCAGCAGGAAGTGCCAGGGACAGAATTCCAAATGGGGGAAGCTGGGAGAGCCCTGGTTCTTACATTCCCAGACTTTATAGTTCTGTCTAGTGTTACATTGTTTCTTCAGGCAAAGATCTTTGTTCCCCTTCAGTCATATTTCTCCCTTCCCCCTCCTTTTTTTTTTCTCTCCCCCCCCCATTTTGGCCCCTTTAAAGGAGACTCAGATCATCTTCTGCTTTTAATACATGACTATAAAAATAAAATTAATTCCCCCCTGCCCTTTAATATCAATATCTCTCTGTTAACTATGCACATTGGTGAGAATAAACATAATTAAGTGCTGCAACCCAAACCGGCAATTAGATCCAAGGTACCCCCCCCC